CCTAAAGGACTTGCTAAAGGTTACCCAGGAAGTCTGTGACAGAGCACTGAATTGAATACATTTCTCTCAAGTCCTAGGTTAGTTCTCACCATACCATCCTTCCTCAAAGCTGTACCAGTATAACCTTATAATGCTATTTAAACATCTTTTACAGCAGATTCATGATTTGTTTGTTTTTTTAATCTACAAAGGATCTTTATAACCCACTAAGTAAGACAGGCTCCATGTGATGCTAGTTAATCAAAGGCACAATGGATTTAAGTAATATATATTTCCCGTGTTTTAGTTGGACTTCTACATATGTTTTGGGAATGAAAACTTTGATGATGGAGTAAGCTTAACTGAGATTATTTTCCTAATAATACATTGTATTTAATCAAATTTGACAAACGTGATGAAAGAATATTTCTGCAATAAAGAAACATCATGGCCACTTGTTTTCTGAGTAAAATGGAGAGGCTTTTTACATGAATTATAATGTCACAAACTCAGCACTATGATTTCACTTCATTATTAGCTAGGGAGTGAACACAGACTTGGCTAGGATTCTGCATCACAGTCAGCTAACATGGACTTTTGTACTTGTACTACAGTGACTTCAGTGATACTCTGCAGCAGAACAAGAATCCAGTCTGGCACTAGCGGATCCCAATGCAGCATCAAGGCCATAGTTTATCTTCAGTTACTTAGTTCTCAAGCATTCTTCTGCACACTTTCTAAAGAAAATAAGCATCCTCCCAGGGGGAAATCTCAAAACATTTGAAACATGTAAAAATGGTTACATTTAAAAATGCTATCTTGTAGGAGTAAAGATAGGCATTTGTACACAAGCTGGCACAGCCAGCCTTCATGTCTGAAGGAGGCCACGCTTCCTTGCAGTTTGTTTCTGCTAGAGTCTTTTGTACACTAATGAAGAAAGGGGGCGGGGAGAGTAAATTAGTGGGCAAGGGCTGTTAAGCCGGGCAGGACAACAGTCCAGACTCTGGCCTGTGGTCAGGCATAGATGTAACACCATCCCAGTCTATCAGGCTCAGGTAGTGGGGAATGTCATGCACTGTCTATGGAGCTCCGGCAGTGATGTCCAAAGATCACAGGTGTCCTGGAATAAGGAGAGGGAATACTGTCATCCCAAGGATAAGGTGATGGTAGGGACACAGGCCTGCCCAACTCTACCACATCCCAGCCCAGGGCCCTAACAGGAGTCTGCCACTGGATCAGCGAGGATGCGCCAGCAACATGCTAACCTTGTATTGGGACAGCTCTCAGTCAGGACTGTAGCCTGGTTTCCCTGGGCTGCCTCCTTCTCTCCCTCTTGGTGTAACTGTGTCCAGAGGTTGTCTTGTCTCCCCAGGATACATTGTCAAAAGTGACAGCAGCAGCTCCTCACCGTCGACTCTCTGGAATTTCAGGTTGGTCTCTGGGGCAACAGCAGTTCTCCTGGGTGATCCACTCTAGCAGCAGGGAAGAAGCATTTGCCTCCCTTGGCAACTCCTTCCCCGAGTGAACTGGTGGGCTGGCCTTTACTTCCCCTTCTTGTTTCACCCATCTGCTTCTGGTATACAGGGCATGGCCCTCCTGCCTTCTCCCACCAGATGGTTTTCAGCATTCCCTCCACGTCTGTGTCTGAGGGATGCCATGCCTCCTCAAAGAAGACTCATGAGACATTTTCCCCACAACGCTCTCTTATTCACAAATGCAAGGTGAATGCTTGTGATTTCCTTTTGGATCAGAAGCCCCATTTGTTTGATGAAACAGGTTTTAAATAACCACTTACCACTAAATCTGGTGTTTGGGAGGTGAATACAGGACAGAACTACCTAAGGAAGCTGCATTTCTTATTTCTTGCTATCCGATATGGAGAAACAGATGTTTACTTTTTTTGCTGGTTTGGCACGTCTTAGAGAGGAATAACCACCAGTTCTGAGGTGCATCTGGCCCTATTTCTCAGCAGTTTGTCCTGAATTTGGTATTCTCTGTTGTAGCCCACTGAGGCATGGGCAGACACTGACACATACATAGTCCGGATAGCCCTTCACACAATTGACCTAACCTTACCTCTCCCTCCCATGTCAGGTTCATTCCACTAGAGCAAGAGAATGGTCAACCAATTTAGGGAAGCTCATAAGTCCAGGAGACAAGAACTTTCATAGGCATTGAACCCAGGCTATGGAACTAACTCCAAGGACTCATCACATTTAGAAATAAATGAAACACACACTTGCAATTTAGCTACCCCAATAAGTTTTTCTCTCTCACACACACAGAGCCAGAACCATGAATTCAGGTACGTACACGTACACACACACACAAAACCATGAATTCAGGTACTTCTGCTAAAAGCTGGTAAAGATGAGAGAGAAGGGGGAGTCCTTGGACATATGGGGTGTGTCTAGACTACAGGGTTTTGTTGACAAAAGTGGACATAATGTCGACAGAACTCGGCAGAGTTGTCAACAGAAGGCGTTACTGCATCTACACTGTCCTTTGTGTCTACGCTCTCATGTCGACAAAGCGGCTTGCTTTGTCGACAGAACTGGATGTAGTCTAGACGCTCTTTGTCGAGAAGCTCTCTGTCAACAAAAGCCTATAGTCTAGATGTACCCATGGAAACTACAAACGACTGTTATATTCAGATGTGCCTGATATTATTGGCACACTGAATATTCCTAGACGCGGGTACAGATATGTGAGCTAGGAATTATATTATGCTTCCACTGATGAGAGTTATGGGCCTTCTTGCAGGAACTAAAATTAGCAGGCGGTAATTACTGCAAATCCCAGGATTAGTAAACTGCTCTGGAAAAGTACAATCCTCTGGGGAAATTGCATATACTGGTTTAGACTGGGGTCAAGAGATACAAGAGATAAAAAATAACCTTTTGGTTTAAATGGGGGAGGCTGAACTGTCTGCAAGACCTCACTGGATCCTCAAATTGACATTAGACTGTAACTAAGAGGGCAAAACTTGCTGGAAAAGTTTGAAGGCCTAAAGCCAAACACTGGTACCCATCCACAAAAAGATGAGGGCTGAAGACCTTTGACCTAAAGAGGTAACCACAGAGGGGGCAAAATGTAGTTTACCCTGGAACTGTGACAACTATAAGGAGATGCTTCAATACTGTATTGATGGTGGGAGCTATGTAACTGCCTAGGTAACAGCAAACCACTTTAAGAGTATGGAAAACTGCTTTTAATTTTATTTAAATAGCTAATAAACTTTTCTAACTTTAAAAACATATACCCATAACACATTTACCACAAATAAAACATTACTCACTTTTAATCTGCTTTCAGATATAAAATATGTTAAACATTTATTTGCAATTAACATACATTTATCAAAAGCAAGAAAATATTTATTTTGGGGTTGATGAAATAGTGGGGGGAAAACATACACAAATAGTGCTTCATTTGAACATCTTCTGAGTGTATCATTTTCCTAAACATGATGATGATGGAAACAACTGATATGGATATCTGACATTCCACTACTGTCAGCCAATTTAAAAAACTGAGTATGTAAAGTGAAAACTATTTTTTTAAATAGTACAAATCCCACTGATGAGTTTCAGATAAGGATATTTTGTGCAGCTTGAAACCTTAAAACAGAGTAATACAAAAAACAGAGGGAAATGAAACAACAATAAACAATAGCTTAGTTAAAAAGATATTGAATTTCTGATGTGATCATTTGGAAATCTTTTCTATACTGTCACTGAACTGCTGCCCAAAATATCTCTAAATACTTGTGGAAGTTACTCATAGTACATTGCTGAGAGGGGGAAAAAAAATGTACATTAGAATGTTCATCCAAATTCATTCCACCAAATAAATTGTACCCAAATCATTTTTTAGTATTTGATCTATTAAATTGTATCAATGTTTAAACAGTGTCTGAGCCATAAATGCTGTGTGATTTGAGAAAGGACAGAAAATAAGAACATTCTGTGAAGTGTTAGTTACAAAACTGCTTTTAAATTCCATGCCAGTGTAAATGACATGGGTGGAACTGTTAAGCCAGATCCTGGCTGCTGTCCCAGTAGTATAAAAGGCCCTGAAAACTCCTGCTAACTAGACTGCAAAGGGAAAACACGGGCATAGCCAACTCTATGTCATCTACTCTCTACCCTGTGTTATGGGTGTGGTCAATGCACTGGTAATTCCTGGTTGGAATAATGGTTCCCATATTGTGTTAGTCTTATATTTCCTCTATTTTTCATTAATACAAGGTGTGTGCCACAACACTGTCCAAATGATTTTGTTTAAGTAATGTGAGTTGATAGATCACCATCATACCAGAAGTATAGGACACAGGATGTAAAATGCCTGCCAAAACTGATTGGCCTGAGTTAAACCCATCTATATTACTCACAAGGGACAGAATAAAGCTGAGACAAGACTGGTTGAAGCAAGTAGTTTTAACTCATGTAAATAAAACTATGCTTTACACATATTTATTCTGTATTGGTTTGTATACCAACTTACAAACATTTAAATGCTGGGTAGGTTCATTTTCACAGGTGACGTTTTGTATCTGAATGTAATTTAGGCCAGAAGAATAAAAGATGTATATGTCGTGTAATTTCATATGAAACTATAAAGCTTACTTAAAGAATTTTTATTTGTGGGATCCTGTAAAGTGTTCAGAAAACTGATGGGAAGTTTGGAGTGTGAGTAATGGAACATTTTTGGTTGTAAACAAGAAAACTCAAACACTATTGCTTCCATGTGACAGCCCTTTGCTAAGAACACTGATATGTACAGTAGTATTCTCCCATGCTCCCTGTCTGCTCAAAATAATACAGGAGGCCCTTCATTTGGAGAGCTGCAAGTTCTAGGGAAAATCTTTCTGAGGTGAGCCCTCCCAAAAAGAAGTTTTTAATAGACCAACATTTCCTTAAATGAGATTTATTTAAAATCTGTATTTTTGTTTCCAGCCATGTTACACAGTTCATTCAGCTGTCATTACATGTTATTATATAAATATACTTACAGGTGAATTATGGGAGGAGAGCAAGTTATAATTTTTTAATTCCAGGGAAAACAAGTCATTTCATACACATGTGAGATTAAAGATTTAAGTTACCTGTAAACAAATGAGCGTGTGCATGTACTCACATACACCCAAACACAGAATAAACATCAGCACTGCAATAATTATTGCCCAAGGTGAATAAACTTTTTTGGTGACAGTGAGCAAAACATGATTAGTTGTTTCATTATTATTAAAAAAGGTAAGTAGATTTTGTGCCCGAGTTGGTAAATTTTAATGGCCTTTTGTAAGGCTAGATAAACTCAACTCAGTTAACTGAAAAGGAATGTGCCAGTTATTTTCTAACATGATACAAAGCATTTAAGACTTTGCAATTAAGAATTACCAGTATTCATATATGAAATACCAAAAAATGATACCAGAATATACTACAGATGATTAATCGATAAAAATATGATACTCCATATTAAGAAAATACATTAAACACAAACTGCAGTAATGATCAGTTACAAGTATACAGTTATGACATTTTTCAAGTAAGAGCTACCTGTTGTGTTTCTGAACACTAGACAGTACTTCTTCCATCTGATACAGATTTTTACATAGAAAAATATACGTTAATAGTTGTACTCCATCAAAATGAAACTTATTTTTCTTTTACATTTTTCAGTTCAATATATCCTGTAACTATATTGTTGCAACCTATATTTGAGGAGCAACTTCCTTCTAATCAGTCCACTGCAATACAGAGAAAACACAAAAATGGGATTTGACTTCCTTTTTAGCTTTCTGTGTCAGTGAAACAGTAAATGAAGAATCAAAAGAAGAATCAATGTTAAATTCCTTTGTGCAATATAAATTTCTTAAAATTAAAAATATCTCACAGCCTTCAGTTATTCCAGTCCATTTGCTTTTAACTGCATTCTTTCCAAGGAAACAAACAAAACACAAAGTCCAATAATAAGAGCAACATGTACAGTCAAAATAGCACTTTTCCTGTAGAGTAATGTATTGGCCTGGGTAGGATTACAAGACAATGAGACTGAACCAGTATGAGTAGCTAGTTGTTTAGTGGCCAGTTCAAGCTGAGTACTACCACAGTGAACAACATTCCCACTCTAGATCAAGTTTTAAGCAAAGCTCCCCATTCATCTCAGTCTCACTGGCTGTAAACCCTACTTCAAAGTACAGTAGACTTCTGATAATATGGCACTTTTGGGACCTAGGTAGTGCCGGATTATCGGCTATGCTGGAGTACAGGGAGGTACTATAAAGGAGCATACTCCCAATCCTCCCATCCCCCCCACCTTATGCTCGGGTCTCGGAGCTACCGGTACAGCCGCGTGTTCCTCAGCACCTGGAGGGAGACGTGTGCTGAGCGGCCGGCTTTTCAATGAGCTGGCTGGGACGCCACGCGCAACCCAATCGCACTCCCATCCCCTTCCCTCCCCCAGAGCCAAACACCTCCCCTCCCTGCTGTCACCCAATCCCCCTTCTCCCCCAACCTTATGTCCGGGTCCTGAAGCAGCTGTCTGTACTCAGCGGCCGGCTGCTAGCATGTGCAAGCTGGATGCTGTGTGTGCTGGGGACCATGAGCGGAACAGCGCAGGCCATGATAGCGCATGCAACTCACAGTGGCCTGGCCATGAGAGCAGCTGACCTGAGCAGTTCCAGGTTCCAGTTGATGCCAGACTATCAGGAGTGCCAGACAACTGGATGCTGGACTATTGGAGTTTTACTGTACTTAGCTCATAATTAAATCAATCCCTACTTAGCAATCTTAGACCCATGAAATTAAGTACAGGCAGTCCCCGGGTTACGTACAAGATAGGGACTGTAGGTTTGTTCTTAAGTTGAATTTGTATGTAAGTCGAAACTGGTACATATTGTAGGGGAAACTCTAGCCAAACATTTCTCCGGAGCTCAGTTTTATTCTCCCACACCTCACTTCCCTCAGTCCTTTATTCTCAAGCTGAGGTGTCTGCTGAGAAAAGCCGCTCCGCGTCTTCCTGGTTTGCTGGGGGGGCACTAGCTTCGCGTCTCCCTGGTCTGCTGGGGGAAAGCAGCTAGTGCAGGGTTGCCTCACCCCGTTTGTAAGTAGGGATCTGATGTAAGTCGGATCCATGTAACCCGGGGACTGCCTGTATGTGCAAAGTTAAGCATACTTTTAAGTCCTTTGCTAAACTGTGATGGGTTTGAGCAGTGGCAGATATAGGGCAGGGCGAGTGGGGTGGCCGCCCCGGGCTCTGCACTTCAAGAAGCGCCGCGTCAAAGGAGGGCCCCGTGAAATTGTGCTGCCCTGGGCCCCGCAAAATCCTCATCTGCCCCTGGGTTTGTGCATGTACTGAAGTGCTTTGTTGAACTGGGGATTTAAAAGGTGATGGCAAAATCTGGCCCACTGAAATTAAAGGGACTTTTTACACACTAAGGGTATGTCTACATAGCAACATTATTTTGAAATAACTTATTCTGTATCTACACAGCAGGCAGTTATTTCAAAATAATGTCGAAATACCATCAAGCTGGAGGACTTCTTACTCCAACTCCTGTAACCCTCAGGCTATGTCCAGACTACAAGCCTCTTTTGAAAGATTTTTTGAAAAAGCGAGCTGCTTTTTCAAAAGAGTCTAGAGTACTTTCGAAAAAAGGTGTTATTCCTCGTAAAATGAGATTTACCACGATCGAAAAAACGGTCGCTTTTTTTATTTACTTTTGAAAGAACGTAGCTGCAATCTAGACGCAGGGGAAGTTTTTTCAAAAAAAGGCTACTTTTTTCAAAAAAAACCCCTGTAGTCTAGAGACAACCTCATTGTACGAGGAGTAAGGAAAGTTGGAGGAAGACTGCTCTATTTCAAAATAAGCTATGCAATTGACGTAACTCAATTTGCGCAGTTTATTTCAAGTTAAGCCCTGCTGTGTAGATGCAACCTAAAGTATTACTCTGTATGCGTTAGGGTGTGTCTACTTGGCAATGCAAAGCACTCCAGAGTGCTGTGATTTGCAATGCACACTAACAGGTTGCAGTCTCACTGCCCCACGTAAACCCTGCTGGGGTTTAAGACTAAGTTAATATGAACTAGGTACCCTCTGGAGAGCACCAGTAGGATCTACACAGAGCAGTAAGATTGTAACATGACAGAGCACCTCACAAATCTCACCAAGGATGTAAAATCATATTTAAAATGTTAACTGGTTAAAATATATGTTTACCGGTTACCCCTTAACATCCTTATATCACAGCCTTTGCCACGCTGCACAGACAAGCCCAAAGGCTGGCCCAATTGATCCTTTCATAATCACTAGCCACAAGAAAATAAACTGAATTTATTTTCTTTTTAATTAAATGTAAAGGTGACCCATTAAGTGACCAATTAATTTTAGAGAAGTGGGACTCAATTCAGCAGAATATTAGCAGTACAGTTATAATAGACTTACCAGAGAACAGCTTTTTCTCTCTCTTTTTCTGCACCTCAGATAAGTAGTGTGTCTGTACAGATTAACACACGAATATCTGCAGTGAGGATAAATATTCATGTACAAAATAGTAAATTTAAAACTTTACCCAAATAATATTTGGAAACTGCCATAATGGCATTAGAGATTATATGTGAGAAGAAAACATTACAGCAACTTGAATACATACAAAGTAATCAGATGATTTTAAACTACTGAAGATAGTTTCATTGAATAACTAGTTTCATTGAATAACTAATTTGATCAGTTCTACTAAGTTAGGGTGAGTGCCACAAACAACATGTGTCAGAAGACAAACTAGAGAAATATGCAAGAGGTAAATTCAAAATATATGTACTCAAGACTGTCAAGCAAACTAACAAAAGCCCAGGTAAATGAACCTAGGGCATTATTGCTCACTTTGTCTAAAGAGAAAACATTTTTCATTGCAATCCATATGTGTTCCACATTTCTCTTAAATGTGCAGACTATACGGAGAAAATAGAGTAACATAGGAGTGGTCAAATACAGAGTAACACGCAGTTATCAGGACATACATGCAGCACTAAGAAAAAAACTCAATCGTCAGTTAAATATACAGAGGCTTCTATCACTTGGTCCATGTACATTTTGGAAGACAAAGCCACATGCCAACATATTTCATTTTAGCGATAACCATATTGTTTTTCTGCTCAGTTATGACTCAAGCTCAACTGAACATCTTCATCAGTATTCATTTTAATCAATCAAAGAAAAGCAACTCTTTTATAAAAGACAAACACCAATGAGGTACTGTATATCAATCCTACTGTATACATGGCAACAGAGGATATATCTTCAGAAACACACACACACACACACACACCCTTGCCAATCATTTCTGAATAATTCTGCATAGTATTATTTCAGCAATCACAATTCTTACTGGGAAACTAGAATTCCAAATTATTTTCAAGCTATTGCTGATGCACAAAATATTATCTTCAAAAATATTCTCAATGGTACACATTACACACGTAATATTTCAGAGAACACAGACAATACATGGATGGTTTTTGTCATTTTTCCACATACCCATTTCTCAATTAACATTGGCATCACTGAAATTGACATTTCATCTACTTAGGCAGGACATATGCTTCCAACCTTATCAGCAGGTTGGGAGAGAAGGGTACTAAAGCATAGAATGCCTTGCTCCTTGTGAATACATGGCAGTAATTTACATGGTCTGGCACCAATTTAAAAAATGAGCGCACACTTCAGTTTTTCATGTTCCAAATTGGTACACCATCAAATTTAAATAAACAAACAAATGACCCAAATATGCACTGGTTGAATGGAGCATCTCATCATTATTCAAATTCTAAAACATAGCTTAAGTAGGCATCCCCTGCCCCTCAGTATTCAAGACTTCAGTGTCACATATATTCCTTCATTTTGGAATTTAAATTCACCAAGCGTTAGTCTTTTGCTTGTAAAATTGTTTACATGTAATTTCTCCAGAATGATCACAGTGCTTTGAAAACAATATCAAAAGAGAAGAGTTCTTACTCTTTCAGCTTTTCCACAAATTATCTGCACAAGACTTTGCAGAGATAAATTAACATACAACTCCAATCACCAATCTTTCTTCCACTGTAATTTATAGTAAGTTATTCCTATCTCATACACAGCAAGTTTTCCAAGGCAATGGATTTCATTACTTTGTGTGTACCTGGAGGATTCATGGAAGTAATCAGATGCAGAAGTGTATCCAATATACTATCGGGCAGTCACCATCCAAAGTCCCAGTGCTACATTGGCAGCCAAAAGCGCACTGCCAACAAGCAAGATTAAAAACCCAACAAGCTCTCTGTTTTGTTTCTCTATAATCAGTGAAGTAAGAGTGGCTTCCAGGAAAGAGTTTAATATCCATTGACCATCAAGTGCAAAGCAGGGTACTGCATTGATAACTGCCAAGGCTCCTGACAGTGAAATTAAATATCTGGTTGAGATTAGCTAAGGAACACAACAGAAGATGTAAAGGCTGGCCATACTATGTCAAGAATAACGGTCCATGTAGCCCAGTATCCTTTCTTTCAACACTGACCCACACCAGATACTTCAGATGAACTAACAGAACAAGACAATTATTGTAATCCAGCTTCTGACAATCTGAGGTTTCGGAACCCTCAGAACATGGAGCTGTATCACCAACCTTGGCTAACAGCCCTTAATGAGCCTATCCTCTATCAACATATCCAGTTCTTTTTTGAACCAAGTTACACTTTTAGTCTTCCCTTGGCAAGGAGTTCCATGGGTTGATTGTATGTTGTGTATTTCCTTATGTTTGTTTTAAATGTGCTGCATTGCGTGACACCTAGGTCATATGGGCAAATAACACTTCCTTATTCACTGTCTCCACACTATTCATGATTTTATAGCCCTCTATCATATTCCTCTTTCCAAGCTGAAAAGTCCAAGTCTTTAAAATCTTTCCTCATATGGAAGCTGTTCCAAGCTTCTAATCATTAATTGTTGCTTTTCTCTCTACCTGTTTTTAAATTGGGTTAACCATAAGAGCACATAGTGGCAATGCCATGGATTTATATAGTGATATGACTATAGATAATAAAGACAGAAACTATTTATTTTCTAATGGTTCCTAATATTTTGTTAGCAATCTTGACTGCCACTACACCCTGAGTGGATGTTTTCAGAGAAATATCTACAGTGACTCCAAGATTTCTTTCTTGAGTGACAGCACCTACCTTAGACCCCATATTTTATATCTAGAGTTGGGATTATGCTTTCCATTAAAAGAAAAAAGTTTTTGATTTTTGTGAAAGAAGGGAGATACAGGATGTAGTCCCACCACACAGAATGGCAATCACAAATTAACACAGTAATTTTACATCATGACATGGTAGCACAGGGACTCCTAGCTTATAATTTCCTATAAAGGAAATGAGTGCTTGTTTGGGTATTGAAACAACCCTCATATCTCAAGATTGAGGTGAAAACCAAGGCATAGTGGTTAGCTAGAGATGGCAAGTTTGCACTACTATGCTTATCTCATCACTTGCACTGTGTCTCTTTAGAAGACTTTGGGCTAGCTAGTGTCTTAGACTGCAGAAAGATGCCTCCCAGAACTTGGGACTGAATGGGCGTATCTAGACTACGCGGAAGGATCGAAAGGGGATATGCAAATTCTGCAGAAATGTCCATATCTTCTTCCGATTGCACTTTCGAAAGTGGAGCTTTCAAAAGAAAGGGGGAGAAAATGAGTTATCATATATTGTTTCTTAGCTCATAGAACTGGTTCAGAAGCCATATAGCTCTGCTATATAGCAAATCATTTGTTCTGCCATTAGTATTTATATTTAGAAATGCTATAAGTTTCTTTTCATCAGAGCTCTAAAACCTCAACATCAAGAATCCAAATAAAAGTGACCAAAATTATTCTTACAAACATCAGGAAGCAAAGAGTTTCATTCTGAGTTAGGCATGTGAGAAAATAATGAATTTGGGGATGGGTCAGAGATCATGTCCTACAGATATGCTTCAAAACTTGATTTAGCATGCCGCAGAGTAAAAGCAGTCCTGTTTAAAACCTAATAATGATATCCACCTGAAATCTTGCTGGATCAGCAAATAGCAAACAATGTGTTTTTTGTTCTAAGAGAACACTTCAAAGGATACTTGCACATTGTCTCGATCACCACAGGCAGATCAATGCTTAGAAAGTTATGTCGTGGTACGAAACTGCTAAGACTCACTGAAACAAAAAGAACATGAATAAGCAATAAAGCTGCAAATGAAACTATATGGCATTTCAACAGACATAACATAATTAGTTTCAGATAAGCAGTGTATCATGGCAAATCTGATTTTTGTTTTCTACACTTCTTTCAGGATGAATAACTATCCTAAATATAGATTTTTTTTTAAAAAAAACCCTAAGTTGGCACAATCACTAAATTATCTGTCAGATGCAGTCACAATGATGGTTGGAAAAATCAACACACCACATTACACAATTAGTACTTTTACTATGCTTGTAATATCAGATCTGAAGCACATAATATGCTTTCAGACCCATCACAACTGAACATCTGTATTCCTAAAGAACATGTTGTGTAGTGTAAGCCTTGATTTGACTAACCTTATAATGACTATTGCAGCAAGAATGGCAGTTAAAGTTGCGTTATTATTTCCATTCTAATCACTCCCCTTGTTTTGAGGTCAGGTCTGCTAGTATCAGATAAGTAAGAGGTGCTGTTCTTTATGAAACTTTTCACAAAAATCTGTAGTGTGAATGGACTTATATCCACAAAAAAAGTCCCTTTGTCAGTTTTGCTTATTTTAATTCGGGAATTGTTTTAGATAATACTGGCAATAGAATTAAGATGCCTCTTGTAAGGTTGCCTACAAAAACTAGTTATACCAATAGACTTCTTGTTGCACAGACCTGACCTTAGTTATTTATAACTTTTACTTTTCACTTTGGCAACCAAATCAGCTAGGCTGCTAAAGAATGATGAGGAGTTTTAAGAGATCAGGGAAATGTCTGAATTCTGTAGATGGTTGTTTCCGCCCTTTCAAGGACTAAGAAAAAGTGTCACTTTCTTATTTACCACAATTCCTTCTTATGAGTATTTAAAGCCACATGGACTTGACTTATTTTATTGACAAATGAGGGATGTTTTTAACCGTTTTTAATTCTTATTTTAAAATTTAAGCAGCTAAGAGCGAGAGTGGGTCCTCCTGCACTATCACAAAATTGTTTAATGAGTTTCAATCAGTTACACCCATGCAACCTATAGAAGAAAATGCCTTGCTTTGAGCTCCAAACCTGCACTGTATAGTGCAAGGCCAGACTGCTGCACTTATGAAAGCCCCATTGAAGGCAATGGGGCTCCAGGAAGGTATAACAGCCCAGCTGCATGCTGCATAATGCAGGATATGAGTGCTAGCTTACATTATCTTATTACTGGTGCTTATATGATAAAGGGAAGGAGGCCTGTTTGAATTGGACCCCAAGCTGAGTTTACAGAAATGGGTTCAAACTGAACTCATTTGATAAGGAAACAGTAAATAATTAAACTCAATTATATTTTCATGAAGTAATTTCTCAATTCACTAGAACTACACTTTTGATCTTGAAGTACAGCAGCTATTTAGTTATTTCCTGATATTTCTGGAGTAGACAACAATAAAAATATTTTTGATGGAAATACCAGTTTAGTGGGAAATGGCCACTCCAACAGCAAGCATGGTAAAACACAACAGAACAATACCAGTTACTTGAAGAATACCTACAGTGTTTTGTATTTTTCAGTCAGACAGCCAAAGAAAGAGGCTTAAAATAATTATCACAAGCTATTCTTGGAGCTCTGCTAAATACAGAACAAAGTATCGGCAAACATAAAATTAAGTGTCAATGCCAAACACTGAAATCAATGCACCAAAGGTGGAAAAAGGACATCATATTCTGGATTTTCAGGATGTACTACAAACAATAAACAGTAAAAAATAGGATACAATAACATTTTAAAAATACTCAATAATATATGCACCAAACAAATAACCTCTTACCCTGCCAAATTCCAGGAGAAAAAACTAAAAAGGTTGCTAGATTAATTTAAAAAAAGAATGATTATGCAAACAGGGCCTTATTTTGCCATTGTTAATCAAGCTCAGAAGTATGTAACTCCAGCCATAATTCAGGAAAGTTTTTGAGCTTGTGTTTTCATCTACCCTTAGTTAGGAAAGCACTTTAGCAAGTGCTTCATTTTCTTTCTGAATAAGAATATTCTTTTAAAAGGGGTCATCATAAGAAAACCCATGATTTTCAATGGGATCTCTCTCTCTAGATCAGGGCTACTCATCACGCGGCCCACAGCCCATTTGTTTGTGGCCCGCAGGTGGGAGCCAAAACAAAAAAGTAGTCAATATAATGGTCTCCTGTTAATATGTGTTTTAGTAGTTAAATTCCTGGACTGTCATTGTTCATTAAAAGTGCTCTTATATGGGTGGAAATCGGGTAAATATTGTATTATTAACATCAACAGAACTGACTTATATGGAGCCTGTGTGTTGTGTAGTCTTGCCTTAATCTTTGTATTCATGCCCATCACTGTGAAAGAAGCTATTTGCATACATTTGCATGTACATGCAACCACACTTAAGTTGCAGGGCTTGGCATATGCTGTGGCATTGGGGGCTTCCAAAATTTAGTAGCCCTGCTCTAGATAGTCACTTTTGGCACAGCCCTGCCAATACATAGTGCACACTGTACCAGCCAGTAGTAGTCCTGGAATGCAGAGTGAATTTGGCATAAACCATGAAGGCATAATTTCTCCACTGCTTTCCTTTTGCTCCTGGAGAGAGAGCATAACCTATTACTTGCCTAAACCAGCCCGAAATTACTACCTATCTCATGCTCACTCGGCTACTTTGCTTCAGAACTTGCTGGCCAAAGTGAATGCCCGTTCTCTACTCACCTGCTTCTAGGGCAGGTGTGGGCAATAATTTTCACAGGGGGGCCACTTACTCAATTTTGGTACATGGTTACAGGCTGGCTCCAGCCCCATACTTCATTGATTAGTCCGTTGGTCAATAAGCAGGGAAGCTGCAGTCGGATTAGCTCCTGGTCCCGTCAGCTAACCCTGCTGCGGCTCTGCAGCAGGGGGGGCCCGGTGTGAGCGGGAATCAGCTGGCCCAGCTCACGCTGGGTCCCCCCCACTGTGCTTCTGATTTTTAAATGTATTCAGAGCAGGTAGGCTCTGAATACATTTAAAAAGCAGAGTCACAGAGTCTGGGACTGATCATGAGTTGGAAATCAGCTGATTCCTGGCTCGTGCCCAGTCCCCGCTACTCCCCCGCTTTTAAGCCAGCTCCCCCCAGCACCGGCTACTGCTCCTTCCCCTTCCTCTTGTTGCCTAGCAGAGGCAGCAATGGTACAGGGGGGAGGGAAGCAACTAGTCAACTACATCCCTACTAGGGACTAGATCCCCCCCCAGTTGTGCGGACCAAAGGCTTTGAATTAAAACAACAAAGGGCTCCTGGCTCTGCCACTACTATGTTGCCTGGCAGTCTCCTGGAATTGCTGCGTCTATTTAAAAGGTTCATGGCTCTGGCCTCTTCCAGGATAGTACCACAACCATGAACCGTTTAAATAGTATCCTGCTGCCTGAGCCACCAACTGGAAATCTTGTGGCACAGGCAGCAGGATATAAATAAAAGGTGGCCAGACACAGTCTGAGAGCCAGATCAAAGTGTTAGGCAGGCTGGATCCAGCCCTCGGGCTGCATCTTGCCCTGCCCTGTTCTAGGATGTAATACACTTGCTCCCATGTGCCTGGACTCAAAACCTGAATAGCTTGCATTGGAACATGTCAGAATCAACTCCAGAGTAAGGAACTATTTAACATTACTAAAATTGGCAGAATTTGGCCCATGTTGTTTACAGACTGGTTAGAGTTGGTAATGTAGGGGCAGTTTGGGTTCTTTTTACTCATGATACCATAACCCATTAGTTGTCTTATATATTTTAACAGGATTCATTAACTACGGAACTACTCAACATGAGTAAGGTGGCAAAACTGAGCTTTTATATAGTTACAAGGAAGACTTGTAGCAACATGTGAGTACTGGTCAGGGTTTAAAGGAATAATTGTGAATATTCCAATCCAGGGGCTGGTATAAGACTCTCTAAAGACTTTTGCTAGAGCCTTGAAGAGTTCATACATTGAAAAATGCACAAATGGGACATGTTAGGACGAGTGAGATCTGTTGAAGCATCCCTTTCATGCTTTTTATGAATAACTCAATTTTATTTTCGGTAAAAATTATTTTACTTTGCACTGTGCACGTTTCACTGTTATTTCTAATTACTCCAGCATCTCCACTGTCTGTAAGAAGGAAAGGAATGGAACTAGCAAGGGATTCAGCACAAATCAAGCAGACTGGCAAGCCCTCCAAAAACTGTATTGAAGCAGCCTGCCAAAGCTAACTGTGCCATAGCCTTTTAATTTAAATATTCTCATGAACAATACAAACCTGTATACTGAAGATGCATTGGATGTCCTACAAACAGCATATCAACATGGGGTGGATGTTTCACTCTGATTAATCTTGTCTGATTTTCTAAAGAAGGAGTCACACACAAACGTGGAACAAAATCCTTCTGGCAATCCATATTGGTTCGACAGACTTGGCTGGCCTCAATAGCTTTTCGTGCTGGCAGACAGGCAAACTGCAAAGGGCATTTTCAATAATTATCAAATTGAGAGTATTTTACAACAGACCACAAACTACTGTTCTGCATGTTTCCTTTTAAAATAGAAGAAGCTGATCTGTATCCCTGATTTGCAGCCAGGATGTGAAGAACACTGTTCTAATCCTTTTAGTTTTGATGCACCCAGCAGAGCCTCAATATGCTAACACACAGGTGCACACATATTCAGCCTAGCATTCCGCCATTAAGACATGGGGGTGGAGAGCCATATGCACCAAAACTGTATAGAAGCAAGTTTACTATAATTATATACACACATTATGAGAAAATCTAAACATAGGAGGGATAGTATGGCACTACCAATTGGGAATGAGCAGGCCCACAGAAAATACACCTCACTATACTAGGGCATGGAGCTAACGTCTGTTTATGGGGGTTGGGATTTTATAGCCATGGTATCTGCAAATTAAAGCTTTTGTTAAAAGAAAACCCCTAAAATGTAATATGCCTGGCACTTATGACTGCAAAGTTTAGATCATTCTGAACACAATGCTGCCTTCCTGAGTTTGCTTATGCTCACCCACAATGTTGCCTTCCTGAGTCTGCTTACCACAATCACTCCCCTCTGCAGTTTGGGATCTTCTCACCCACTTACCATAGGCCAGAAGCAAACAATCTTTTCTCTTCATCTCTGCCTAGAAGCTTATGGTGGCTTGCTTCTTGTTTCTCAGAGCAAGCTGGGGAACAATTTATCCTCTACTGTCCCTGCTCATGGAAGGGAGGGTATCAGGGGTTTTCAGTCAACAGCCACACTTGCAGTACAGGGATCCAACCACTGCACAACATGGTTGTGCCTGTCTCTCCACATTAACCTCAATCTAGGCTCCTCCCAATGCCAGTCTACATCATGATGGCTGGGAGCAAACATTCAGAAGTCCTCTGCTGTTGCTGTGTAGTTCTGCACGTAGCAGTTTAAAAAAGAAGAAGTTAACTCACCCTGTGCAGTAACGGTGGTTCTTCGAGATGTATGTCCCTGTGGGTGCGCTACTCAGGTCTTCACGAGGCATACCAGAGCAGTTGACAAAGACTTCCCTTGTCGACCGCGGCGCATCTAGACTGCCCTGCTGTGCCGATCAGCTGATCGTCGGCACAGGAAGGTGGCCATTTTGACGTAAATGATCGCCGCTTCATTTTGCTATGTCTAGTAAACTCATCTACATGGCTCCGTCAACAGAGCTGTGTAGTCTAGACATACCCTTGCAGATGTGCAGTGTTGCAAAGAGGTCTATGGTCGGGAAGCCCCATTTGTGGAAGATTGTGAGAAGGACGTTGGTACTGATCTTCCATTCATGCTGATCTGAGAAATGTCTGCTCAGTCTGTCAGCCCTGATGTTCTGTTCTCCTGGAATGTACATTGTCATTGGCGTTACGTTGATGCACCAATTCCAAAATTTGACTGCCTTGGCACATAGAGAGTGTGATCGGGCACTCCGGTTACTGGGACACACTGGCACAGCACTGCTGTTACCTATGCTTTCTGGTGGATCCTGAAAGAACTGCTGAACTTGCACCACCGCTATCGAAACATATGGCACCTTTCAAAACATTTTTTCAATGGGGCTCCTACATTTTCATAGAAATTAGTGTACAATCTCCATGGGGCACTTAAAAATCTTGTAGAATGTGGAGAAATATTAAGGTAGAGGAAGAGGAGAGAAATGGGGTGTTGATCCTGCAAGGTGCTGAGCACTCTGGGCCTTGATATAGCCCAGCACTTCTTACCTTTAGGCATGTGTGCAGACCACTGACTTCAGCTGTTGAATGCTGAGCATGTATTCAAATATTTTGCTGCTTGAGGGCCTAAAGTGCTGAACAATTCCCCCTTGCCCTTGAGAGCTGCTGTTAGTCTCGTGTCTGCTTATATTTTACCTGTGACTATTGTGCCTTTACAGCATAAAAATATGGGTGAGCATAAGCAAAGAGAGAAAGAACAGTCTCATCGCTAAAGGCACGTGACCAGGACTGGAATCTGATTCTAGATCTAACACACTCTTCTTGTGTCACTTTAGGAAAGTGGCTTTCAATCCACTGCTTGCTTGCAGCCCAATTAGCACATAGCGCCAGCTTATGTGACATCTCAAGGGCCATACATGTAGCATATAGATTGTGTGGATGCATCCCATGTAACACACAGAGAATTGCATATGTAGCCCACAATGGTAAATAGGCGGAGAACCACTGCCTCTAAATCACACAACCATACAGTCTCTTAGTTTCCTCAGGAGGAAAAAAAGATCATGAATGTTTGCCTATCTCTTACAGATGTCGTAAAACTTAAAGCACTCAAAAGATATTAATTAGTTAACACGGTTTAGATAGAAGATGCTATACACTGTACCGTAAAATTATGTGCACATTTGTTATATCAGTCTGAACATTAGCTAAAGGATCTTACCAAGTGGCTGTCCAAGTTATTGCTGTATGAAAAGCAAACATCTGTGAGACTGCTGTTACTACAACATTCAATAGTGCCGTCAAGTCTTCTGTAGACTAAAGAAGAACACAACCAATTAATTTTTAGACAATCACAGAATGATTTTTGTAATAAATCACAAAAATACATACTTCTCTGAATAAAATCCAATGATCATTTCTGTAGCCTGCTGCATGAATTATAATAAATCAAGTCTCAGGGAAGTAGCCATGCTAGTCTGTATCTGCAAAAACAATGAGGAGACCAGTAGCACTTTAAAGACCAACAGATTTATTAGGGCATAAGCTTTCATGGATAAAAACCACTATGTCAGATACTTGCCTGATGAAGTGGTTTTACTCATGAAAGCTTATGCCCTAATAAATCTGTTGATCTTTAAGATGCCACAGGACTCCTTGTTTTTATAATAATTCAGAGACCCTGACTTGGATGTCTGCCATAGTTGTAAATGAGTTTTTTCATCCTAAGAAGATCATCAGACTGCAGCCATTTCCCCCTCAGGCTGATCTTATCACCCTACTACATACACTACAACAATTTATTGAATACTGCCACAAAACAGTTTGATCTGTTGCCTGCAGCTGGCACCAATGGTGAGCAGAGGGATTTGGTTACCTTCTGTTGCATTCCCTTCACTAGCTGTGGGAATGAGCAAACTTCAAAATATAGTTTTTAAAAAAAATAAAAAGTCTTTAATGGAGTCGATCCCTCATAAATCTATGAGTAGCAGTACCTGGTTCAGCTAAAAGTGTATTTTTAAAATTGGTTTAATTAAACTAATGCAAAATCCAGTTTTAAACCTACATAACAGTGCCCATGTAAGAGATTGTACTAGTATTTTTCAAGTAGTGTAACTTTGGTATACAGACAAGACTTGAGCAGCCTGTATTCTATACCACTATATGTTCTGAGGTCCCACAGCACAGAATTCCAGTGCCTGAGGCTTGCAGGTGCAGAAGTGGTACTATACATCTTTTCTGGCTGTAGCCTTAGGGTACGGCAATTATATACTTTTGAAGAGTGGCTGAACATGAAATTAGCTCCTTTACAAAATACATTTTAGAGTATTTTTATTTCAGAAGGTCTTTGGCACGCTGATTTCTTTATGACTGTATACCTATTTTAGTTTTTATTCTATATTTGTTTTACAGAATAAAGTGCCTAAGGTCTATCTGCAATATAGGCTCATTATAAACACAATGTATTAACAGAAAGAATGCAGAGATGTGAACCACTTAGATCACTGTTTCCCAACCTTTTCCAGATGGGGACCCATTTTGACAATTCAGGAAGACTTGGTGACCCAAGGCAATTCAAAAATGGGGGGAGGAGAGGGGGCATAGCCACCTGGGGAGACACTTGGCGACCCTTTTGAAATGCAATGGCTACCCATATTTGGGTCCCGACCCATAGGTTGGGAAACCCTGGTTTAGATGCTGACAAACAACAGCTACTGCCATTTGAACGAGGGATGTTAAAATGTATTTCATTAAGTAACTATGTAACCGCTGAAATTTCAGCAGTTACATGTGAGGCAGTAGTTGGCTCCTCGGGAGCCAGGTTTCCCATGCATTCCAGGAGCCTGCATGTAACCGTGAACGTTAACTGATAAGCCTAGATTCAATGGTTGACCGTGTACACCAGGGGTGAGGAACCTTTTTTGGGTTTGGGGTAAGGATGTTTAGACGTGGGTAATTCACTAATTGTGTAAATCGATAAAATTTTTATCGACTACACAATCAGTTGATAAGGGAAGGCTTCCTCAGTCCCAGCTTGCACCGGAGCCAGGAGTCACCCTGCTGTGACTCTACAATTTAAACGCAGTAAAAGCCAAGCACACAGACAGCTCTACTCCTACTACTTTTCAATTGGCTTGCATGTGGCTCCCAGGGAATGTGCTAGCAGCTCTCGAGGAGCAGTTACATGCGGGGTGGCAGTCAGCCCCTGTTCACAACAGGTCGGGTTGGCCACTGGCAAAGGCTGCTCCAGTAGCAGCCCCTGTTTGCAGCCAGCCCCAGCCACTGCAGGCAGAAGTTGCTTTGTGGCAGCAGCCCGCGTCCATGGGGGGTGGGATCCCAGCTCTACGCTGGGACCTCCCACGGTCAAGGACTGCTGCCCAAGCAGCCTCCCCTGATCTCCGTCCCCCTGCACTGCTGTTTCTGATTGAGGTAGCAGCACAAGGATGTGGAGAGGGAGCAAGAGGCACTGCGGTGGCAGAACTGGTGGGAACTAGCTTTTAAGCTGGCTCCTGATTCCTCCTTACTGCCTCTGATAAAGAGGCAGCAACGGGGAGAGAGGGGGAAGCGAGTAGTTGAGTAGTTGACTCGACTAGTTGCTTTCATCCCTAGTTGGGAGCCACTAACACAGAGAGATATCAGTTTGGGGCCACACAAAGGTGTGAGAAGAAAAAAACAAAACAAAAAACAGCCCCCACTGATGTCCCAGAAACAACCCTTCCCAGCCTGTGGTCACCCCTTCCTCCCTTTTCTAGGTGCTCCATACAGAGAAGGGGCTCAGGGGCTGGGCTTCCCTTCCCTCACACTCTTGCGAGTGGCTCTCCGTTCCCTCTCCTCCCAGTCCCCATGCCTCTGTAACTGCTGCAGCCTGGGCAGAGGGGAAGCTGGCTCCACTATGGCCTCCCCTTTCTCCCAAAAGGCATCCCATATGGCAAAGGGGCTCGGAGGCTTCCCTACCACCCTGTAGACGGAATTTCTCTTCTCCCTACCCTCCCGGTCCTGCCCACCTCCTTACTAAGGATGTTAAATATTGATTAATTTACTAGTCGACTAGTCGATGGACATCCCATCGACTAGTCAATAGGCACTTCCGCCTTCCTTCTTTGAAATGTATAAGAGCCACAGTGGGGGTTCTTGTGCATTTCAAAGTTGGAACTTTGCATACAGCCTGAAGTCCCTCTGCGTGCAGCAGGAAGTCCTGATGACTCCAGGCTCTATGCGGGCGCTTCCGCTTTGCCTAACAGCCACAGGAAAGACGCAACCCTAAATAGAAGCAGTTGAAAGGGCTTGTGTGTCCCTGGCTCCCAGGTAACAAGCAAGTGTGAGGCCGGAGCTGCAAGCCCTTTCAATTGATTCTATTTTAAGGGCTTGCACCAGCCAGGTGGCTGCCAGGCAACACAGCTGCCCAGGAGGCGTGAGCCCTTTAAATAGAAACAGTTAAAAGGGCTCACACATTGCTCCCAGGGAACGTGCTAGCAGTGGGGAAGGAGCTGCGAATCCTTTTAACTGCTTCTAGTTAAAAGGCTTGGACGAGTCCTTTATATAGAAACAATTAAAAGGGCTTGAGGCTCCGGCGCCACTAGCACATTGCCTGAGAGCCAGAGACACGTGAGCCCTTTCAACTGCTTCTATTTAAAGCAGCTTCAACTGCTTCTCGTGCAGAGAAGGCACGAGTCCTTTAAATAGAAGCAGTTGAAAAGCGCTCACATGGCTCCACCTCCCAAGCAACATGCTGGGGGCGGGACCTGGAACAGCCATGTGGGGTGGATCAAAGCCCTGGGCAGGCCGGATCCAGCCCACTGAGTGCCTTTTTCCCACCCCTGTTTTAAAATCAACTCTGGCATGCCAGGCTGAAGGGTTAAAAAAATATGTAGTTTTATTACCACTTGTCTCTGAATTTACATTCCTTTATTTATCTTTGGCTGTATCTAGACTGCATCTCTCTGTCGACAGAGAGCTGTAGATTAGGCACGTCGAAATTGCTAATGAAGCAGGGCTTTAAATATCCCCCGCATCATTAGCATAAACATGGCCGCCGCTTTTTTTCAAAACGGAGCTTTTTCGGAAAAAAAAAAGGCAGTCTAGACGCATATCTGTCGAAAATAAGCCCTTTTTGATCTGTCTACCTAGACACAGCCTTAGGTAGACTGGGATCTATAAACTTCTGAGCATTCCTTCGTCCTTGCTCTCCCTACATAGCTAAGGGCATGTGGCAAGGCTGCCCCAGCCTCCTTCAGAGAAAGTGAGTCAAACTATTGGTTTGTCTAAATGCTTGTGATCTGACCAATAGCATCAGTCTGAGATATATATACACTTTTAGATATACATAATAGGAAAAGAGATTAATAGATTATAAAGATAGAAGGAACCACTCTGACCAGAATTAGCATTCTGAATGTCGTATGAAGTGCAGTGCACATCAAAAACACGTCAACATGTATTTAAACCTGCCTGGCTTTCCTGTTTACTTCCAAGTATAATGCAAAAGTTTATGATCTTTAAAGCTCAAATCGTTTAGAAATTGGTTAACTGAAACACTGCCAATCTCTCTATACTGAGCTGGGGCAGTTAAGAATGGCTGCAAAGTGACTGCTGTCCAGTCTTAAAGTTAAAGCAAACTTCCTGAGGCTGCTATAGGAGGATTTGCACATCTATGGAATTCAATCCCCACCACAATTTCCTTAAACTAATCCCTAAAAAGTTCCTGGGCATCATGCAAGACATGATTTAGTCTATGTTTACTTTAGCTTGATTTTTAATTTTTTTATTTACTTTAATTTTGCCTCTCCTACTTTTACTTAATTCTTCATTAAGGGCCAAGCTCTTACAGTAAGACACTCTAATGTGAACAAAACCTGAAAGGAATAGAAGACTAACCTCTAGATGGAACATCCAGATTCAAGAATAGAAATAATTCCCAATTCACAGAGATTGGGGAAAAAAATTAAAGCAACCCCTCACCATCGGGGGATGATTTACAGTAGCAATCATAATTCAGAGTATTGTTACCTTACACCCCACATACTTTCACAGCATTAATGTTTTCCCACAAAATTAGTCAAAGCAAGAAGCCAACCTAGGAATTCACTACTGCAGAGGGTCCCCAAAATGAACACTTCAGCTGGATAATTTTATTACAGGAAGTCTGCAATTTAGGAATGAGTTGTGTTCCAAAGTTCCTTTGTAAACTGGTTGTTTGGAACTCAGAACGCATTTTCTCATAGGCTGTGTCAAGACTGCAGGGTTTTTTCGAAAAAAGTAGCCTTTTTTCGAAAAAACGTCACCTGCATCTAGACTGCAGCCGCGTTTTCGAAATTAAATCGAAAGAACGCGGCTTTTCTTTCAACGGCGGTACTCCTCATTTCACGAGGAAGAACGCCATTTCACGAGGAAGAAAGTGCTCTTTCGAAAAAAGGCGTTATTGAACGCAAACAGGGCTTTTTCGAAAGAGAGCATTCAGACTGCCTGGGTGCTCTCTTTAGAAAAAGCGACTTGCTTTTTCGAAAGTACTGCTTGCAGTCTAGACGCTCTTTTGAAAGAGGCTTGCAGTCTAGACGTAGCCATAGAAACAATGTTGTAAATGGTAGCGGGGTCCCAGGCTAGCCCACAAAAACCTATTTAAGCCATAATGTAGCTGAAATGCTATATATTAGCAATGACAAAATAGTACAAATGTTGGGTTTTTTTAACATTGAATACTGGTACTTGAGGAAAGGCAGATTTAATTAGAGAATGAGGAGCAGTGTTCCCTCATTCTCCCTGCACAGCTTCACAGGGGATTAATCAGCCCCACTCAGTCAGTCAGCTCCATACATGGAGCCGCTGAGCCTCTGACTGGGTTTGACAGGGCTTGACAAATACACTCGCCCGTGGAGAGTAGATTTTACCAGCTGGCAAGTGCAGGGGCAGACGGGCCCGGTGGGCCGTTGTGACGGGCTGGCCGAAGCCCACACTATGGGCGGCGCAGCCCCATCCGAATGGGAGCGGGCAGAGGGTGGTGAGGGGGTGGGCATCAGGGAAAAAGAGGGAAAAGGGGGCAGGAGCAGTGAGAGAAGGGGGAGGCACCAGGAGGCAGGGGTAAGGGAAGGTGCAGATGCAGGTGCCAGGGGATTCTGGGGATGAAGCAGAAGGGCAGACACCTGCAGGGGAGGGACCAGCACCAGAGGAGAGAGGCAGGACAGGTGTGTAGAGGGAGGTGTTAGGGGAGAGGATGAGGAGGGGTAGCTCACACGATCAGAGTGGGGCTATTGGAGGAGTGGGCACAGGGGGGAGAGAAGGGCTGCTGGGGGGGGCAGATCTCAGGAAGGCTGAGGGCAGTGAGAAGGGCAGGAGTCAGGACATCAGAGAAGGGTGAGGGGTTGGGGGGCAGTAGGCACCAGGGGAGCTGATGGAGCAAGTGGAGGAGACATGGCAGCAGAGGGAAAAGGTAGAGGTTTAAGATATTTATTAATAACCTGGGTGATATTTATTAATAATTTATTAGTAATTACTGTTCTTATTCTTATTAGGAATTTATGCCATTAAAAAACACTTTGGGGGTTGGGGGTGGTGAGTCCCCTTTTTCCTCTGGCGAGTAGGGTTTTCTATAATTTGTGGAGTCCTGCTGATTAGTCATCTGTAAAGCCGCAGCTTAGAGGGAACACTGATGAGGAAGTAGGTGGAGATTTTGACAGGGACTTCTGGGAATTCCTTGTCTTATTCTTATTAGGAATTTATGCCATTAAAAAACACTTTGGGGGTTGGGGGTGGTGAGTCCCCTTTTTCCTCTGGCGAGTAGGGTTTTCTATAATTTGTGGAGTCCTGCTGATTAGTCATCTGTAAAGCCGCAGCTTAGAGGGAACACTGATGAGGAAGTAGGTGGAGATTTTGACAGGGACTTCTGGGAATTCCTTGAACAACCCTCCCTGCCACTGCACCGTGCAGCCAGCAGCTGTAGAGCAGCAGCAGTGTCCAATGCAAAGTGTTGCTTCTCTCCTGCCGCCGGCTGCACAGCTGACCCTGCTCCTCTGGTGTCCTCCGGTTAGCACTTGTGCTGCTCACCACTACCTCGACTGCTCCCCTGAACAGCAAATGAACTTTCGTTTGTATGCACGGATGTTTGTAAGTCAGATGATTGTAATTCGGGGAAGGTCTGTACTGGCAACAACTGTACATGCAATCTCACAAAGAGATAATCAAATCTCATTCATCATGCCATAAACTAAAATGACCAGAAGATAAGAATTAATTATTCTTTCACTTTCTTAACTACAATATTTTACAAAAAAAACAAACAAAAAAAAAACTGCGTACTGGTCAATGCCAAAGACAGGATATAAGACCTGAGGAACCAATATTCTGACCTGTTAACAAGTCCTAAATCAAACATAATCTTTAAGAGCTGATGAAATTATAATAGACAATACTTATCAGGAACATGTAAAGGCACATTTATAAGGATTGTATAAATAACCATACCCCTGGCTGGGAAGCTTAACTGATGTAGGGTGGCTGCATTTATGCAGTACCCAATTTGTGACTTCTGCAAGATCTCTCCAAGGCAGGAATTCCAGTCTTCCACACCACGAATGGAGCAATCTTGTACGTTAGTTACCAGGTCCCCTACAAAGAGACCCCTGGGTCCATTGGCGGGAGAATCCTGCAAAAGGAAAATGGAAGTCTGGTACACTACCATTCTTAATAATGCTGGGATTAGTTCATAGTTCTCCTAAACGTCCAACAGACACTTAAGTTAATAAACTATTTTTTGAAGAAACAGATTTTATTAGCTATGATTATTTTAATCTTAGGCAGGGCACTAGGAAAACAAACTTTTCCATAGAGAACATCTCAAATCACATACAAGTAAACTTCAATTATCCAAATCTCTCAAGGGATAGCTGAAATTCTCAGACAATTAGTTTCATTTAAATATTTTGTTTGTTTTGGCTCATTTCAGGTTTGAAGCATTAGATTCAATCTCTTAAGAGTTTCAAGTCATCAGAGCTCACCTATACATCTGGGGGGTGGAGTCATAATGCTGGAGCACACTAGAAATCCACCCTTTCTCTTTCCACACAGGACCTGTTATGCCAGCTCCCCTGCTTTTTTTTAATCCTAGAAAGATTTCATGCCTGTCACTTCTGCCTATCAACCATGCTCACAAGCTGCCTCCCATTGTGCTCCTGTTGACCCAGGAAGCAAAGAATCAGCTTCACCGATCTCTCACATTACAGGGGCACTGGATCACAGAGTCAGTTTTCCTCTCTCATTAGCTGGGACTGACTTCAGTTTAATTTAACAAAACTAAGGCTGTAAGTTCATTCATCAAGATTTTAATAATATTATTGAAAATCAGCATAATCAGACTGTATTGTAAACAAGACTGTCCTGTGATAGTGAATGTTATATACAATTATCTTGCTACACAGACAATTAAGCAAAAGAAAAACTTCATTAAGTGTTAAGGCTATAGAATCCAAAAGTTTACTGATCTCAGAAAGAAAATACAGGCAGTCCCTGGGTTACGTACAAGATAGGGACTGTAGGTTTGTTCTTAAGTTGAATTTGTACGTAAGTCGGAACTGGCGTCCAGATTCAGCCGCTGCTGAAACTGACCAGCGGCTGACTACAGGAAGCCCGAGGCAGAGTTTCTCTGCCCCGGGCTTCCTGGAATCA